TCCTCTGGACTCGCTCCAATTTGTCTTGCTTTCCGGAACCCGGTGTGCCCGCTTGAGAGAGCCACCCTGAGTCTTTCAAGGGACATGCTCTTCTCTGAGATGAAGCTGTAAGATGGAGTTTGTGCATCCACAACCTTACGTCTGGGGTCTTTTATCCTTTCAAATTCTGCCGCTGCGTAGCGGGAACAGAGAGATTGCATTTCACTTTGGAAGTACTGAGGGAAAGACCGAAGGAACTAGGGCTTCCTAGTTCATTGCCTGCATTCTGGGGTAGATCCTGGCGGCAAGGCATAGTGACGGGTCTTACTGAAGGTTATTAAATCTTATTGTTACAGTACTGCCATATTTTAATTTTAAAACACGTAACCATCCCTCTGGTGGAAGGTGTCCCTGCCCATGGCAGGAGGGTTGGAACTGGATGGTCTTTAAGGTCCCTTCCAACCCAAACCATTCTGTTCTGTTCCGGATGAGTCCAGCCTTCCTGCTCTTTCCTCCGGTGTCTTACTGCTGTAAACGTGGCCTTTCCCCCCTGGCTGGCAGACCCTCCCTTGTGCAAGCGTCAGTTCCTCTGCCCCCACGTCACATCAGTCCGGAGGCTGACAGAAACATCGGTCTGGGGTTCTGTATCCATGGTGCCTGTTTCAGTGCCCTTGTTACTGAAACGAGCCAACGTCCCTCTGCGATGCGTTCTGGAAGAGCTGTACTTTAAGCTGCAATCCAGAAGTTCCTGCTAAGCAAGCCTCGTGAATTTTGTGCTTCTTTACAGAGAGTTGCAGAGTTAAAAGGCGCAAAGCAGGCAGCCCCGGGTACAGCTGCAAGTGCAGCTGCTAGCACATCAGCTCATCCTGTCAAGAGAAAAACTGTTGACACAGAAAATGCAGAGTTAAAGAGACTAAAAGGTAAGGAGAGAAAAATACTTAGATTGTAGCTGTTTTACATCTTGAATGTTTTGTTATGTTTCGTATTGCTTTGGGGTTTTTTTTCCCCATGGAAGTGAGTGTGAATACACAAGACTGTTGAGTTAATGTCAGCCTGTTGCCCAGAGAAGCTGTGGATGCCCCGTCCCTGGAAGTGTTCAAGGCCAGGCTGGATGAGGCTTTGAGCAACCTGACGTAGTGGAAGGTGTCCCTGCCCATGGCAGGGGGGTTGGAACTAGATGGTCTTTAAGGGCCCCTTCCACCCAAACCAGTCTGTGATTCAGAAAAAGGAAAAAGTCAGTCTTTCTGTTTCTCTGTGAGTTTGCTGAATAGAAGAAAACTGCCATTTTGGTAGTTTACCTAGTTTTCTTCTCGGTTGTTGGGCTCAGTGAGGTCATGTGGCTGCGGGCTTGGTCAAAACAGAACCAGAACCAGGGTAAGTTAAACAGCAGCAGCACTTGCTCAGAAGTGGTGTTACTCCTTTTCAGTGGGATCAAGCCACTGGATTACCACAAATCACGTGTGAAAGTTCACGCTAAAAGCAAGACAGTTTAATTTTTTCCCCCTTGGTGGCACTGAACATGCCAGTTTATAAAATATAGAAAATGTGCATTTGTGGACTTACTGCTTTAGTAAGACATGCTGTGAGTGATATTTCTTTTGAAAGTACGGGTTGTAAGAAGTAACTCTTGGCTGTTATACAGGTACAGACGAAAAGCCACATACGTGTACGTCTGGGTAAGTAGGTTTTTATTAGGTATGGGGTTTTTTGTAACTCCTCCAACTGTTACGTTCTCTCCCTGCTTTTTCCTCATCGCTCCTTCACCGCCAAGGGTAGAAGTTCAGAGAACCAGCAGGTCCCTGCTTCTGCGCATTTTCTAGCATGGGTGTATATTCCTGAACATGGCAGTGTAGACGATAAAGTCATGGTATTGACTCCAGAGTCTGTGACAAAACAGGAATTGTCTTACTGCCGCTCTCAGAGTTTTAAGGAATAATTTGTGTTGCTATTATGCAGTTTGCTAGAATGAAAGTAGCTAGATTGTGGCATGCCTTCCACTCTAAGCGCTGGCATACTGCAGTGAGGCGGGAGGGTGAAATGAAGAGTTTTTAAACGTACATTTAAATGACATTTTAAGGGCCTGTAGTGACAGGACAAGGGATGACAGATTTAAATTGAAAGTGGGGAGGTTTAGATTGGATATCAGGATGAAGTTCTTCATGGAGAGGGTGGTGAGGCACTGGAACAGGTTGCCCAGAGAAGCTGTGGATGCCCCATCCCTGGAAGTGTTCAAGGCCAGGCTGGATGAGGCTTTGAGCAACCTGGTCTAGTGGAAGGTGTCCCTGCCCATGGCAGGGGGGTTGGAACCAGCTGATCTTTAAGTCTCCTTCCAACCCAAACCGTTCTGTGATTTTATGATATTTATTCACAAAAACTGCTAACGTGCCATCAACAGATCTTTGTTAAGATGTTTTTGTCACTGAAAATTCATGTAAATGGGCATCTTACAGTTCAACTTCCATAAATAGAGGAGTGTATTTGACTTCAGGGGATGTGCCTCCAGGGTTTTCTGACGGTATTTGGATGTCTTTGTGGGCTGGGCAGATGTCACATGAGGCCCGCAGGTCTCTTGCGCGCTTCTTGGCTGTGAAAGGATCATTATTACCTTGCACAGATATTACACGCTGCTGTCTCGACGCCAGAAGACACTTGTGGAAATTCTGAGTGTGTGTGTGCAAACTCGAGAGGTTTGTTCGCTACCGAACTGACTGGTGGGGGCATTTTGAAATACAGCCTGGAAAATCGTTTGGCTTGGAGGCCTGCAGCTGTCCTAACCGCGTGTGGCTGAGCCTGCCTGGCCCTGCCCAGCCGCAGTGGGTACCCAGCAATAAGTAGCTGTGTTTGTACAGGAGGGTTACCAAGGCTGACGAGGCGTCAGTGTGACCCGTGAGCTCTGTGTTCGGTGTGTTCGCAGCAGGCGTAGAGATGCAGGTAACTCTGCGTGCCGGAACAGCTGCCCTTCCTCCAAACGCCCTCTGTCCCGGGATGTTTACGTTCTTGTTTTCCATCGTGAATGTTCAGGCACAAAAATGGAACCGCCTTTTCAGGATTAACCCCGTCATTCCCGGGGCACTTCCAAGAAAAGCCGCGCGTGTGCGCTGTCCTCGGACGGCGGTTACGTCCGTGCCTGCGCAGGTTAGGGTGTGGCACGGTGCCAGAAGATGGCATTGCTCGCAGGCTGTGGGTGCTGTGCTGCAACAGATTGTTGTGACCTCTGAGACAGTTACGCTCTGTCTTCTTTACTAGGCTACCAGCAGATTTTTTTGATGAAACGAAGCAAGAGAGTGCAAAGGAACAGCTTCCAAAAGGCTCAGGTCCCAGTTTATTGTCAGGATATTACGATGATGACGATGACGACGACGAGGAGGAGGAACAAGATCAATCAAACAGATCTGGGGTTACGCATAAAGCTGAAATTCCACCTCCAGCTCAAGACGTGAAAGCTGATGCTCTGCCTGCAGGTAATGATGGCTGCAATGGGAAGTGATTCCATAAGGAGAAGCTGTGTTTTAACCCGTGATGGAAGGGGTTTAATTTATTTTTCTAATTACTACTATTAGCTGGTTAGGGGAAAAATTACTACTATTAGCTGGTTAGGGCATGGAAGTAGAGAAAGGTGATCCCTTCCCAGTTTGTTACTGCCTGGAGGTTTCTTTGGTTTTATTTTCTGATTATTTAAGGCCATCACGTGACACGATGTCTGGCTGTTCTTCCCTTGATTCAGTAAGGTGGTAACTGCAATTCCTGTCTGGTCAGAACTTTGTAAAGAAGCTTGAAAAGTTCCTTTTGCTCATGGGCTTCTGCCCTTTCTTACAGACTTCTTTGACAGCAAAACGACAGCTGCTCCTATAGTTTCCCATTCGGGATCCATACAGAAAGCAGAGGTACAAGAGAAGATAGTGGAAAGGTAAGCAGTCAGGTACGGATGAACTGGGGAATCGTCAGTAAACCTTACCTTCCCAGGAAACAGAGGCTGCGATCACTTAGCAATGTGTCACGTTGTTAACCTGTGTTTGTACGTCAGCATCTAGCGGGATTTCTGACAGGGATTTCCCACCCCAAGGGCAGGGTAAGAGGTGGAGCCATGCCTCAGTGTGTCTGTTAGAGATCTCTCTGCAGTTCGTAACATGGGGTGCTTGAGAAGCCTCGTGTCGACCACTGCTTTCCCCTGTGGAAAGAAAACCGTGTGCTTGTTCTGTAGCAACGGTTCAGCGCACTGGGGTGCTTTTTTAGACGGTGCTGTCAAAACGTTTGGCTGCTCAGCACGCGGGAAAGAACAGTTTAAGAAGCCCAAGCTTCTGTTTTGACAGTGAGGTTCAAACCTGTCTGTGCAGTTCCTGGTAAGCTAGGTAAGACCAAGAACCTGGTGGTTGATGATTGTAGGTGACACTTGGGGTGTGAAAGAGCTTGCTTCATTTCTAGGTCCTTTTATAGAAGATTATGGGGTTTATTCTTTACTGTTTCTAACTCTACAAGAAAGCAGGATGTAAAGTGTTAACGTGGGCTAACAGTAATCAAACGTTCCAGGAAAGAAAACACTGCTGAAGCTTTGCCAGAAGGTTTCTTCGATGATCCCGAAGTGGACGCAAAAGTAAGTGAACTGCTTGTTTTACGCTGCTGGTTTTATTTCTGCCACTTGCAATGGTGCTTTTCCAGGTAATCAGTCACGCCAGAAAACTACTGAGCTGTTTTGATCCATATTAATTGGAATACGTGTAAAGGGGCAGAGTTGGGGCAGGAAGAGCTTGTGAAAGCGTCTCTCGGGGTGTATTTTTGATTGTGGTGCCTTTATGGCTCCTAAACAGTGTTACTTGTTGGCTGAAACGCCGGACTGGGGTTTGGAAAACCCACCCATTACTTTTAATTCTGTGTCACCCCGGGAAAAGTGTTTCATTGAATTTGTAGATCCCATTCTGCCTCTGAATTGAGGATATAAAGATAGTTGCAGAGTTCCCAACACCCTTCGAGAGATCGTGTTGAAAAGCGTTAGGAGTTTCTATGTAACTGAGACCGTGCATCCTGTGAGAATGAAAATAGGTGGGTTATGGCATTCTCTGTGATCCCGAGTACTGGCTTTCTCCAAAAAATCACAACTAAAAAATCTGAGAATTTCCTTCACCTCGCACAGTACCAGATGATTTGATGACCAAAATAAACACCGAGACCTGAAATACAAAGCTGCTTTTTTTTTCCCTGCCAAATTTACCACAGATTGGATGACTTCCTGCTTTCTTGTCAAAGTAACAGTGTTGTAGGCTGAAAGTCTTTTGGAATGGTTTGGGTTGGAATGGAGCTTAAAGACCATCTAGTTCCAACCCCTCTGCCATGGGCAGGGACACCTTCCACTAGACCAGGTTGCTCAAAGCCTCATCCAGCCTGGCCTTGAACACTTCCAGGGATGGGGCATCCACAGCTTCTCTGGGCAACCTGTTCCAGTGCCTCACCACCCTCTCCATGAAGAACTTCTTCCTGATCTCTAATCTAATTTACAAGTGGATACCTGTTCCAATAAGCTCCTCCTTGAGCTGCTTGCAGGTGCTCTTCTTTTTAATCGGCCCTTTCTAAGCTCAGCTGATGTGCAAGGGAAGGGAAGTGTTTGTGATGTCACTGTTGTGATGGCTGCAGGGATCCTGTGCTGGAATCCAAACTAATTTCTTTCGGAATTAACAGAGAGCTCTTCGGAAAGGAGATTGTGGGCTTGAAAAATGTTGGTTCTTTACATCAGGAGTTTACAAAGCATATAAATTCTGGATTAGATAAATATTGCAAGGAAAAATAGGATTTTTAGTGTTTAAATTTATTGTAAGAAATACAAATAGTTATGGGTTAGTTACAAAAGACAACCACGGTGCGTAGCAACACAGTACGTACACGCATGACAGAAATAATCACGGAACAGAACGATGAAACTATGACTCTTTATTGCTTCCCAGCACGTAGTTTGCTTGGAAGCTTCTAACTTATTCTATAAACGTAATTCACACTACTGGTTTTTTGTGTCGTCGTTCGGGAACAAAACGTACCAAGCTGTCGTCTTTACCACGATGATGATGGAGGCGTTACCAAGAGAGAGGAACGAATAAGGGAAAAATAAAAGTAGTGACGTGAATGACTCTGTTCAACCTCCTCGGTTCTCCTAGCTAGGGCATTTCCACCCGGTCCAGAGCCAGGCACAGTCGTCCGTCGCCTAACCCCTGTTAGTGCCACGGCTTCCGCTCCCGAATGGCGGAAGCCTTGGTTGCGCTGGCAGATGATCCCATCTGCTTGCGGTAAAAGCAGGGTCTGGGTTCGATCGCCACCGCGGTGGCAGACCTTGCGAGCGTTCTGACAGCTGCCGCTCTTCGGTCGTCCTGCCTCGGTAGTTAAAGCCGACAGCCACGGGAGAAAACGGCTTGGCGCGTGGCTGAAACGGGTGGGTGGGCGGCTGTACTGGTTCTGCTGTCGGCCAGCGCAGCTGGACTGGGCCTGAACCGCAGTCGGACTGTCCAACGCCGGTCGGCCCGGCGACCGAGTCACCCGATGCATTACGTTAGGCCAGAGGCAGGTCACGCGCTGCGTTTTGGCTGGTGGGACAGGGGCTGTACGCTGCCAAGCAGGCAGCTCGCCGGTGAATGCAGAAGTCGCCGCCTGCCGCCGTGAAATCACAGACCGTCGCTGTAACAGGCTTAGCTGCTGCTCTTAACCCAGACGTTCCGCGCCACCCGTTTGCAGCCAGTTACTCTTTAACGCTGCAGTCGAGGACGTTGTTTCAACCCAGGAGTAGTCGGGTATTTTTCTTTATTCCCCCCCTCCAAAACGGCTGCGCGCTCCGAGTTTGTACGTGTCGCCTAAAGTGGAGCACGCTGGGAGCACTATGTAATCCACCCCCTTTCTCTCACTGTTTCACGGATGGAAGAGCCTGGCGTGTCATTTTTTTTCCCCATGTCCCTTTAGGTGCGAAAAGTTGATGCTCCAAAGGATCAGATGGACAAAGAATGGGATGAGTTTCAGAAGGCGATGCGACAGGTCAACACAGTAAGTAACGGAATCTATTTTTATTGGCTCTAGATACTCTACACAATACGGCAAACAACAGTTTCATGCAGCTCTGCAGAACGACTGACGTCGGCGCCGTCAGTTGCTCGTTGCAATGCAGTGCGTGGGTAAACGCACTTTATAAATGAGCAAAGGGTTCCTTCTGTCTTCCACTTACGGGAAAAGAAGCTGAAAAAGCTTTTGGTCAGCATCCGCTCGCCGGGACCTATCTAGTTACGTTGGATAAACTGCATTTAAATGAGTCGGATGAGACATATTCCTGTTTTAACCTTGAAAAACCCAGTAACACGCCACCTGTCTTGTCTGTCCTTTCCAAAAGGATCGACGAAGTTCAGGTAACCTGGGCTTTGTGGGTGATTTAAATGTACTGGAAAGGAACCCCAAAATCTGGGTGAGTGATTTAAATGTACTGGAAAGGAACCCCAAAATCTGGGCGAGTGACAGAAGCTTTTGTGTGCGAGAGACAGAAGTTGGCCACAATTCTTCCGTACTTCCATCTTTTGCTGCTCAGTGTTGCTTGGAAAGTCTTCCCGGAGCAGGTTTTTACCTGCCCTCTTGCACAGCGTAGAACCGTCCCTAAAGATACCCAGTTCCCCGTCTTCCCTCAGAGCATCTGCTAGGGTTTTTTTACATTTTAATTAATTGCTCGTAGGAGAGCTGCTAGGACAAGTGGCGCACAAGAATTTCTCGTTGCTCATTTTAAAGTGGTCAGCACGATGAACAGAGCGAGCGTTCGTACAAAAGCAGTGGTGGATACGTTTTGCTAGCGTTAGCCATTCCGATAACTCTTCAGCTTAGAGGGAATCTTCTCAGTTACGCGTGGACCATGGATTGCATAGCATCTCCCAGACATTCAGATTTGAGAAAATATATGCTGAAAAAAATAACAGGTTAGAAACACTTCGGGATCGAGAGGGAATATTTAACCGATACTCTCAAATAAGCTCGTGTCGTTAAGTCCCGAGCACGGGGAATACAGCTCCTGTTTCAGCCTCAGACTTTGGATGCGCGTGGTTTGTCTACGCTCAAATAGTAGAGTGCTGAGAAAATTTGAAAGGTTAACCCCAAAGCAGCCAAACTACTTTTAGTTTGTTTGGTTTTTTTTTTTAAAAAAAACCCACATTTTTCATTTCAAATTAAACCAGATCAGGGTGGTTTGGTTTTTTTGGTATTTGCCTCCAGAGTCTTTTGTGCAGGTGGGAGTAGGTGTGCAGGAGACTGACATTGACTTGAGGTAGAGGGGAAGAAGGGAAGAGACAGACATCAAAAAGGAACAACAGTGGAGTTCAGGATGAAGGTGAATTTTCTTAGGGCTTTTCTGGTTTAGATTTCAGAAGCAATAGTGGCGGAAGAGGATGAGGAGGGACGACTCGATCGTCAGATTGGAGAAATTGACGAGCAGATGTAAGTAGATCAATTTTTCCTCAAACTTTCTGTTCTCCAGCAGTAAGGGATCGCTATTGACTACAGTGATTAAACCCATTCGCCATCTTAATCTTCTGTGATACTACCTGTGGTTAATCAGCGAGATATGCGAAAGAGAGAGTGCCTCAAAGTGCAGAAGGATACCTGATAAAAACATTACTTCTGGTGCAAAGTTATGTAACCGCTTGTGGAGGGAAAGCGCTAGAACCACGGAAAACATAGCAAGCAGGCACGGGCAAAATAAAGCAACGGAAAGCAAATTTTTGGAACAAACTGTCCCCCTTCCCCCCGTCAGACGTCCTGGTTTGCGCCGCTCTGCGAACTCCGACCGACGCAGAGTTTACGCGAAGGTGTTGCAAAGGCCGAGGCCGGCTGTTGTGCGCCGCGGTTTAAATACCGCGCTCTGCGCTGTGACCCTCCCTCCGCTGTGCCCGAAGAGCCCTGTCCGGTGACTGGCTCTCCTCCCTCCTGACACCAGCCTGCTTGCAGGCTTCGCAGAACGAGGCGCTTCCTTTCCCGGCGCGGGCTTTCCCGCCCCGTTTGGGTGACGGGGGAGGCGCAGCTGTCGGCCAAGCTTTACTCTGAACTCTGAGCCAGCCGAGACGCAGCTTAGTGGAACAGGTCGTTGCCGCTCCGCGCGTCGGTTAACAGCCGTTACGGCAGCGCTAGAGAAAGACGAACCCTGATTTTAATGAACCCTGCGGCAAAAAGGAGACCCTAAAAATGAAAGTGACCCTAGAAACGAGAGCGACGCTTAAGCCACCTGGGCAGATGTACATGCCTGTAATAACGGTAACGTTGGGTTCAGACCGAGCTTTGGTAGCACGGGGGGTGTCCTTTGACAGTGTTCCTGCGGTTCTGGAAGGGGCTTGAGCTAGACCTGGCTGTCTCGGAGCATTACTCTTCCGTAGTTTTGTTGTCTGAGTGCATCTGAATGCAGGCCGTTTGGAATTAAATCCCAGGTCAGATGAATTCCGGTGGCATTCGTGTATCCCTTAGTCTTCAAACCTTCAGCTGTCGGTGCCTGTAAATCACAGCGGGTGTGCAAGGGGGAACGGCATCCAGCTAACAATCTTCCCTGGTTGACTCTTGTTAGCAAGAAAGAAGCAAAGGTGTATTTAGGGTCAGGGGGATGCTGCTTGGCATTTTCGACTAAACACTGCGTTGAAATGGATCGAGTCATTGTCACGAAACGTACTTGGAGGACAGAACTGTGTTGACTGCGCCTCTCCTCGGGTCTGCCTCCACCCGATTAGCGCGGAGAACGTGCCTGAGCATATTGAAAGCTGATTTGGTAACTGACGGGAAGCAGCCCAGTTTGTTCTTGTACAGAGCTGGAGAAGCAAAAATCCAGGTAATGACGAAAGGCCGCAAGCGTTAACAGCTGGTTTGCTTTTCCACAGTGAGTGTTACCGCCGTGTTGAGCTCTTGCGTAACCGCCAGGAACTGATGAAGGAGAAGTTAAAGGAAGCCATGAGACGGAGAGCAACCCAAGAGAAAGAGGAGGAGGCTGTGGGTAGCGAAGATGAGGAAGAACTGCAGGATTTGCTGTCTCAGGACTGGCGGGTGAAAGGGACTTTGTTGTAGCACTTCTGCAACGTGGTCGATGTTCCCGTTACCTGCGATGTTGCTTCCATTCCTAGAAGTGAGGTGCTTTTGCTAAATACCGATTTAAAGAGGATCGTGAGGTGGTGAAGAGCCAAGCGTATTCAAAACAAAAATCGTCCCTCTAGATCCGCAATGGTGTGTTACCTGCTGTAAAAAATGTATATTGCAAACCTTTTACAATACTGAATGTACCTTTCCTATTAAAATTGTTGGTTTCCTACTGAGGTATTTTAATGGGATCAGTAAGTAACTGAAGACTCTCCAGGGTTTTGGAAGCATTAGCTGTATCTGGTGATTTTGAGGCCTAGATGTAAAGGGACTAACGAAAGTGAATGTGTGGAGTTTTCCCAGACTGGTGGGGTTAGGGAAAGGAAAATCTTATGTATTTATGTTATCTCAAAATTTACAAGTGCTCATCTGTCCACCGCCCCAGCTCCCAATAAAACACATACTTTTTTTCCAGGATCCGTTAGGCTTTCTGTGCGTATGCAAGGGCCGGGCTGGGAGGTACTGAGCCTCGGCTTCTCCGCGGTGCTCTGCGCGCTCAGTGCTGTGCCCCGGGCAGGGCCTGAATGGTTTTCGTTGCAGGGTCTCGTTTCGCTCAGCGCGGCCTCGGGGCGGCGCACCCCTCCTTTCTTGACCCAGAGGGATGCGAGCGCAGCGCTTACGCATTTGCGCGGCCAGACGGAAGGGCGACCAACCGCTGGAGAGGAAGGCGCTGGGCGCCGGTGAGGTAAAACGGTTCGTCCAGCTGCGGATCCCGCCGGTCGTCCTGCGACAGGTACTGCCTTGGGCACAGGGAGCGTCCGAAACCCGTCTCTGTTCTGCTAAACACAGATGGGAGTTGAAGCGAGAGCCGTCAAAGCTGGCAAGACCGGGGCACGGAGAGCAGAGCTACCCTGAGCTTTGGTAAGTGTCTGTTTTTTATGAAGTGTGGTTTTTTTTTTTTACTTCTGCAAATCCTAACGCGTTTAAAATTTGCTGAGGGCTTTTGGGAAAAAAACCCCAGGTGGTTCAGTTTTTATCGGAAAGTAAAAGTTGTGAAGGAACAGCTTAACAGTTTCCTAAAGATTCCAGCTTTAAAACAACTTAGTGAGGTTTAAAAGGGAGAAAACGAGCTTGGTCCTGGTGAGAGGATTTGGGGTACTTGCCTTGAAGGTGCTGACGACCCAAGCCGTAAGGAGAGACGCTGTAGCTGGAGGTTCGATCTGCCCGTTTGGGAAGAAGGACTTGAAACCATGGGAGCCCTTTCCGTAGAGCGAGAGCCTTTCTGACCGCTCCTGGTTTCCGCGATCCTGGGGTTCAGCTCTCCGTCAAGCCGTCAGTACCCAGGCAGCGGTCCGTAGCAGTTCGGCGCATCCGTTTGTTCCCGCTCAGGCGTGCCGTCTCCCAGCCGTTGTTTTTCGGCAGCGTTCATCGCCGGAAGCGTGAGCGGCCGTTACCGCCGACACATCTGACACCATGCTGCGGTGCTGTCGCTGAGACGGCAGCGCTGGGAGAGTGCTGAAATGCAGAGAGGGCGTTGAGACACGTGAATGTTTCGGCAGGCTGGAAAACGACTTAGGCCAATGCGGAGATTAAGATTTCCTTCTGTAGCGGGAAAGGTTTGAGCATCAGGGTGTGCGATGCCTGTCGTGCTGTAGTGAAACGTTCCGGGATCCGTTTATCGCTATAAAGAGAACTTCCAGCCGAGGGGGTGGACGGACAAGGTCTTTTCCAAACCAAGAGTTTCCCGCAGCTTCACCCCGGGAAGAACTAAGCTGAGGTTCCCGCTGTTCGGCGTGGCCTGGCGTTCCACTCGCTCAGCAGAGCCTTCTGTCTGGGTAACGCGGAACTTGAGAACCACCCTCTGCGTCTGCCTTCCCGTCGGAGAAAGCGATGTGACCGCAGGTGCGCCGAAGGCACGCTGAGCCCCACAGACACGCATGTTCTTATGGGCTAACAGTGCTAATCACCGGGTTTATAACATTCCCCTTTTGCACCTGTAACTTCCGTGTTGTACGTGGATCTGCAAATCACAGTTCCAACTGCAGATAAAGAGGAAGGGAACTGGGCACCGGAACGGCTCAGCTGGTTTAGTGCAGCGGCCCTCCCCTTCCGAGATCTCTGGTGGTAAGCAGCTAACAGCACCGCGTTCAGTGACAGCGGAGGGAGCTTGTACGCTCAGATCCAGACCAGTGCAGCCCATTTCAGTTATCAGGAACCGACGATGGGCACAAACACACCGCATCACCCATCACTGTTCGTTATCCTCGCATAACTTCTACGGAAACAGTAAAGGCGCTGGACCAGCCCGCTGGACAGCACTGGTCCCTCCTGGATGTTGCTTGTTTTAAGAACTGATGTGTTTTCCCTTCGCAGGTGCACAAGCAGCGCTGCACCCGAGTTTTACGCAGCTTCCTGCGTGCCACTGCACGTCTCTCCGCCACCTCAAACAGCTTCGAGGGAGCTTTGCCAGGAAGACAGGGGCGGCTCGCTGTACCCTACGTTGACCGCTGGTGGATGTGTACTGCTGTGTCAGCAAGGCAGGAAGTCATCCCACCTCTTAGCCAGGAAAGTCGCGTGGCTGGAAGGGAGAGGGGGGAATTATCCCACCCCTACTGAACAGCCAAGCGAATTTATCGAGGTAAATGACGTCCAGTGTCTTAGAAAAACATAGGCATAATTAATTCATGGTTTTAAGTCTGGTCTCAGTTTTGAAAAACAATTGTATGACTCTCTGATGAGCTATTCAGCTAGATAATTAACCACAGCAAATTATTATTTTATAAGATAGGTGCTTCCCTAATTTCTTCCTAACTTTTTTTGAATCTATTTTTAAACAATAAAGATGAAATCAGTCCTAATAACTAGCTCTGTCCACAGCCCCCATTAAAAATGAAGGGTTTTTTTCCGCTGACACAGTGCAATTTGGAAGAATATATCAATGCTCTGATCTCCAGTAGGTCTAGAGAACTGAAGGATCAGGATTAAGGGGTTAGAACTTAGCATCTGGAATCCTTATTCACTGATCGCTCGTGGAATGTTGCCCGAGTGCAAGAAATGTGGCATTTCGTGCCGCCAGAAACCAGTTGTGATTCCCACCTCGGTGGTTTCAACACGGGTAAGTGCCTGACGGGCCGAAGGGCGTGTGTGTTTGCAGTGGGGGCGCCGGTCGCAGCCTTGCAGGGAGCAGATGACCGTGGCGGCTGCTGCCAGGTGTTGGCAGGTAACTGCTCTCGGGCAAATGCAAGCAGTCGGTCCCAAACGGTCAGCTGCGTGCCGGCCTGTCTCCTGTTGTGGAAGGAATTAGCTGCTGCAGTCAGGACTCGGAAGCAGATGTGGACGAAGGGCTGTATTTGGTACAGAGGAGCCCACGGCCGCTGCGGGATGACCGCCACCTCAAGCCGAAATCACCGCCACCACTGAGACGGCGTTCTCCTTTGTTAACGCGGTTGGTTGTCAGTCCTCCGCTACAACGTATGACTTTAAATGTGCCTCAGAATCACAAATAACTAGTTAAAAAGAGCACTAACAGGAGCTTTGGTCGGGTCCCCTGCCAAGGAATTCAGTTTGCGGAGAGAGGAGTTTTGCTCGTTGCATGCCACTGTAATTAAATTTCCCTGCGTTTTATATTAAAAACACTGAGCTGTAATGAGAAAAGTCATATTACTCAAAATATTTTCAGCACTGAAAAGAATACCTCCCTTCTTCTTATAAACAAGAACCCTTGCACTCGGAAGTCAGACGTTCAGCCAGTGCCGTAGCAGAAACCATGATGTGAGTATATGATGTTGCTTAACACAAGGGAATTTCTGAAACATCGGGTGAATTTTATGCTTTCCATTACTGTCTTCAGACCTCTGCCAGCCTGTAGAGTGACAGGGCACAGGCACTGATGCAGAAACTGATTCGGTCAACGTTACTGCGTTCCTTCCTGGAACCAAGGCGTAAGTACCCTTCAACGACAAGACAGGCAGCATGATCTTGTAGCCCTAGAAGAAGTGTTCCTTCAGCCAAGAGACTGAAATTTTCTGGTGTGAAGCATTTTCTTCAGTATCTGCCTTCATTTAATCTTCATCACTTCGCTTAGAACTCCCCTGGCCTGTTGAGGCACACATGCCTTGTGCCACTGTAAAGTGCTTACAGAGGGCATGAGCGTGCAGTGTTCAAATCCTTCCCCTCTGCGCTGTCCTTTGAACCTGCGGGTGCCCGGATGTCGCTGAGCAGCCTGACCATGGCATCTTCCCTGGGGCAGCTGGCCACCGTAAAACGACTGACTCGGTGAGCACGTGCGACTCGTCATCGCGACACTCGCCCGAGAAGGGGGCGGTCTCGCTCCGAGCAGGTAAGTAGCGCTGATGTGCGTTCAGCGGAGGCTGAGGCTGTGGAAGAGACTGGGTTTGGATCTCCCGTCCCAGCGATGCACTCTTGTTTTCGTGCTGTTGGGTGTTTCAGAGTGAAGAACCGGGGACGCTTCCATTTCTGCCTGGTTGGGGTGGGAAGGCTCGGTGCGTGCTTTGGGACCATCCTGAGAGAGCCGACAGAAGCCCCGTGCTGCCCGCTGGGGCTGAGGCGCTCGCCCGCTGCCTAGTCGCTGCGCCAGCGGGATTTAAGCTGTCGGCTTCCGAGGAGCCTTGACTGGCACAGATGGGCACCCTGCGGCCCACCGCTGCCTGCGGGCTGTGCCTGAGAACAGAAGGCTCTCTGCACACCCGCAGCAGAACAGGTTACGTGGCTGAGTTACCTCTAACTTTTTTGTCTTTCTGGTTGTCTGTTCCAGCCAGCATTCCCACCTCCTGGTTCTTTTTTCCGCTAGAAAAACACAACAGAGCTGCTGGTGCTCGTCTGAGATGCCTGCTGGGACTCTGGCACCGATTTGATGAGGTGAAAGCTGCAGAACCGGTGTTATCCTGCATGTGGAAACCCACAGCTGTGTGGGCTGTGACCTTTTCCTGTCGGACCCATGCTTCCTCTTACCCACTCTGCCTCTTTTTGGCACGAGTGGTTTAGTTTTCTGTCCCGGATATTATGTTTTACTCTATTTTTTTTTTTTTTGCATCCCCTCCAGATACACCTCCTTGTGTTTTGCTTGCCCGTTTCGTATATTAAAGCGCTCCAGGAACTTTTTCTTGCCATTCTAACTTCCAACTAAAATGACTCAGTCCTCGGCCTAGATCTTACTACCTTTCTGCCTGTGTTTTTCTGCAAAAGACTTATTTCCCCCCCTTCTTCCTTTCTCCATGTGTCTTAGCTCACACACACACACGCCCCACGCACCAGTTTGTTTAAATCTCGCTCTGTTCTAGCCAGTTCCACGAGGCGCGTGGGAACCGCTCACGTGAAGGGCGCTACACGCGACAGAGCCGCCGCCGCCGCCCTCTGCCTGCAGCTTTCCGGGGGGAGCAGAGCCTTGACCTACTCCACGTGGCGCTGCAGTAACCTTCTCTTCTAGTCGTTTGCGCTAGCCAGAGAATTCCGCTTTTGCCACTGAGGAAGCGGAGAGTACGGAGGTCTCTGCCGTGAAAGCAGCATCGCTTCTCCCTGCAGCAGCGAGGAGGCATTCTGTCATCGTCCCGGTCAGCCTGCACTGTCAGGAGTCGCTCTGCAGCTGCCTCTGCGCTGGGAAGGCTGCTGACTTCTGCGGGTTTCCCGGTCCGTACACGCGTCTTGGTCGCATCGTCGTTCCAGGCTCTGAATCAAGACCCCGATACACAGGGGCTCTCCGTACCCTACGGGCCACGGAAAGCGATAGCGCTGTGCCCCACAAGCCGGGGCAGCGTGGGGCCCGGGACCCCAGGCTAAGTACCAGGAGACGAGCGTAGACCTTGGGAGAGTAGGGAGGGGGGGTGTAAGATTCGTTTCACGTCATTAAGGACGCTACTCGCTCGCAAAACTCTGCTTTCTTGTGAGGATAAAGCAATAAAGGTGAAAGTATTGCTAGTGCCCTGAGGGGAGACGTGCCCAGAGCACCCCCCGAAACGCAGCAACAGCTGGGGGCCAGCCCCTTGCGTTCGCTTTCCTGTGGAGAGGAAACTTTGAGGCTGTGGCTCAGTCCTTTGGCAGATCCAAAGGAGGAGCTGAATGGCTCAGGCAGTGTATCAGGGCAGGATGAGACCCTTCCCCAAGCCAGCTCTCTCCATTCTCCCTTTGCAATGCAAACTGTAACGCTCCTCCCAGCTGCCGCCCTGCTTCCTCCCCGAACAGCGCTGCTGGGAACGGGAAAAGATGAAGGGCCTTTGCGGGACCGTACTCAGCGCCCATGTTTGTTCTTTTGGTCTCGTTTTCCTATCCCCGGTATCTGATCTTAACATCAGTACCGGAAGACACGAGAGAGAGAAACCAGCGGCTTCTTGTAGCAAGAAGCCCAGTCCTGGCTTTTCTGTGCAGCGGGAGAGGTTCTCCAAGAGCAACTTTGTTAAAGACCCAAGAAAGTTCCGCAGAGGTGCTGCCGACTCTGCCAATTGCACCGTCTGGCTGCACCTAATCCTGATAAGACTCCTCGTCCCTGACAACGGGCTAAGGAAGGTACCTCTGAGAAACCAGCGGCTTCTTGTAGCAAGAAGCCCAGTCCTGGCTTTTCTGTGCAGCGGGAGAGGTTCTCCAAGAGCAACTTTGTTAAAGACCCAAGAAAGTTCCGCAGAGGTGCTGCCGACTCTGCCAATTGCACCGTCTGGCTGCACCTAATCCTGATAAGACTCCTCGTCCCTGACAACGGGCTAAGGAAGGTACCTCTGACTGTTGCCAGTGTCGCC